CTTCTCTCTCTCTCTCTCTCTCTCTCTCTATATATATATATATATATATATATATATACAGAATGTAACAGCAAAATTGTCCAAATCATGTAACATCATAATTGTCCATTCCACAAAATGTTTAATAGAAAAATCCACTAAAAGAGTTCCTTTTTTCCAGATAACACGTTTAGCCATCATGACACCATTTGTTGTAAGATTCACTGAAAAAACGATTTGAGTTATTCAGCTAGAAAGAGTTTGTGTCAGCCCCAGCATGTCTTCCCAACTGAGCAATGGTGAGAGGGAAAAGATCATTCAGGGCTTCATTAATATTACCAATATTCATACTCTGGCTTCCATCTTCAAAGTTCATTCAAGAACCATCAAGAAAACGGTAAATAAGTTTTTAAAAAGAGGGAAAGGTAAAGGGAAAAGTGTATCAGAAGACCACAATAGCAACAGGTCACGACATCATTTCAATTTAGTGCTAAACAAATTCTTATTTTTCAATGTAGAGTCCAACATCCTCGGAGAATTCCAGTAAGATATCTTTAATCATTATTAAGATACAACGGTTCAAATTTTAATATAAGAGTTGGACAATTTTACTATTATTAAATTTGCACAATTTTACTGTTATCTCCGTAATCCCCTGAGTGTGTGTGTATTGTTACGTGTTGATAAATGTAACAAAGAAAAAAAAATTATTTACCACAACACAGAGCTAAATCACAAACAAATATTTAATTTACTAAAACAGAACATAAAATATATACAAGATAAACAATTGTGGCCTACAAAACAGAAAACAGAGTTACTGGCAAGTGTTACGAGGGAGAAGGAAATGGAGTCAAATATCTTTTAAATCACTTTATGGCTAGTGAAGTAATCTAAGTGCTATATTTGGAAATCCACAAAGGTGTGTAAATAAATATTAATTTTAGTTTGGTCAATGAAAATTAGTCAAAATTCTATTTACCAACTTTGTTCCATGAAATTCTCTTTTGGGTTTTGGTTGGTCGGCAACATTTTATAGAGATTCTTTCGGCTGGATATAATAGTCCTTGAATCAAAAGCCGGAGTTGATACTGACAGCAATCTGTTTTCACCAACTGACAACCCTTTTCCAAAATCCCATTTTTATAGGGGCTAACACCTAATTTGCATTTTTCTAGATGTTTCTCGAATCATCTAGATTTTTCTCGAATATACTAGAATGATCTAGAATCTTCCAAACATTCTATTTCTAATTTCACTATTTTACAACTACTTCATGAATGAAAACTTTTTTTGTAATAACAAGTAGAACTCAAAGGAATCCCTTTTTATAGAAATGCATCCTCGTAACAGTATGTTAATGTGTGTGTATGTATGTGCGCGCGCATGTGTAGGTAAGATGATAGTCACACCATCAATTTGTCATTAACAAATAACACAGAAAATTCCATATGTATATGTTGTTCTGTTTGTCTTGGTTTGGACCTATATTAATTTAAGTACATGTGGAGAAAAAAACTGACTCATTTTACAGCCGAATTTTTGTAAGTTGAAAAAGAATATATATTCGTTACCGAAACCAGTGGACAAATCTTTTTACAATGTTTTTCTCCTCCTAAAGCGCCATGCCTTCATATTCATGGCTTCTATTTTTAAATTTATTGAACTCCCCATCAATTCGTCTCGTTTGAATACCTATGGTATCCCGCAGAAATATTGCCGATAATCGATTGTAATGTTTGACAATTTTGACGGCAAAAGGATAACGAAAATATTCAGCATAATTTTATAAATGTCGATTTATTGTAATGGGAAATAAGGTTTTCGTTTTCATAACTAGTCGAATTCCTGAATATTATAATGCTTTCTGTTTTATTTATCACATTCTCTTCTCTTTTTTTTCCTGTTCTTTCTTCTCTTATATTTTCATTGTCTTGCTTTCACTAGTTTCACCGTAATTTTCAGGAGAGAATAGAAAATTCGATCCGAATTAGAATATCGAATTTTCAGCTACGGTGTTGACTGACCGGCGTACAACTTTCAGCATAGATATGCAAGGTTTCAAATTTCCGTCCGTTTCTCTTCATCGTCTAACGTTGCCAGTAAACTGCATGGTTCGATTAATTATTGCTACTCAAATTACTGAGAATTAGCGCAATTTTTCGTACATTATATACTTTTAAAACTAACAAGACATCATATAACTCAAGCATTAAAATAAGAATGTATTCATATTATATACATTCAAAATAATGTCCTTATACTTGTTTTATTATGACACCGTTTCGACTTTTCTACTTTCCGCTCTTCTTCAGGTGTCTGTCGATCTGTTGAGATTTTACTATCGGGGACACTGATCTAAGTCAGGTAACACTATGATTTCCAAGGAAGGCAATCGAACTGATCTTGGAAGACTAGCGCAGTTTTTCCTCTTAAGTCCCCTAAACTTAACTTTACTGAATTTCCGAAAAGGGGTCTCTTTCAAAAGTCAACTCGTAAAGCTTATCCTTGTTACGTGAAGATAATGGTTTTCAGCCAGATCGATAATTCCTTGAAAAAAAATCCAATATTTTGCCATCACTGGTAAAATTGTGTGAGGTAAACCCGAGAACTTATTATTATTATTATTATTATTATTATTATTATTATTATTATCTTTGCTTTCTGGCGTTTACACATTTCTTTCCGGGTCCCGCCCAGGGACCTAAGGTTAGAAATGGCGTCATGACACTTTCCACTAAAAAAAAAAAAAAAAAATTAAATTACATAGATAAAGCCCTTCGTAAAGTGTGGGCTGTACTTGTCAGAACAATTTTTGTATCTCCTTGAGGCATGGACTTCCAGGAATCCCTTCAATTAGTCTACTGCAATCTTTTCCAACCAGTCCTAGGGCTCCAACTACAACAGGGATTGTTGATGTTCCCATATGCCACATTTTTGAGATTTCTATTTCAAGGTCCTTGTATTTTGACAGCCTTTTGAATATCTTCAAAGATACATTGCAGTCAGCAGGGACTACCATATCAATAAGGAGGCATATTATTATTATTATTATTATTATTATTGTTATTATTATTTACTTGGATTTCTGTTGTATACACGTTTCCTCCCGTGTACTTTATGACATCTTCCAATGATCATTTTTATACCCCCACCATCTTGTTTTGTATTAAAAAAAAAAAAACACACTCTAATCCACTCATTAGGCTATTGTCTCGTGGGAAAATCCTGAATGTAAAATTTGAAACCTGAAATTTGATGTTCTGCTTACCTTCTGCTGATTCTACTGCTGGTTATGATGCTAATCTGACTTAACGGCCTTTGCAGCCGTTTCTCTGAGTCTGAATATAAATAATATATGTAATTATAAATACTTATCCTTGAAATTTCAAAAGAAAATATTTAAAATTCATATATGACTTTATTTCTTACTACTAAAATAGTTATATTTACTGGTTAAAAATATTTTGAGTAGAATTAGATTTTTATTGAAATACCCCTGCTTAGAAATCGAAAGTCTTATTAATGAAAATGTGCCGCCCGAGTTGAACAGAACATAGATAGCTTTTTATCGGAGAAAACTCTGTGAGTAATAACTAAGAGGTGTGGGTTACCACTAAGCTACGTGTAGTTTTTACGGCTGACTTAGACACAATTACCCTATTCAGAATGTAATGGATTCCAGTCAAATGGCATATTCTCTTTAATTAGAATTTTTATTATCTATATTGATAGATATTAATTTCTCAATTACAAAACAAAAAATAAAGATACAACTCAAACATTTGCACCTATTAAATGTGACGTTCACAGCAATAAGCACTATAGTCGAACGAAAAAGACTAGTAACCGTTTTAAAAATATGATTTTCATTGATACAATTGAAGAAACATAGCGAAACTGATGGAATTTAGTTCCAGTGTAATATTCTGAGATGAGATACGAAAAGACAAAATGTGCTAATTAACAGTATTTTAATTACTGAATTTCTGTTAGTTGGGTAACAGGTACAGTGTAACTCGGATATAAGAGATTTGTCGGGACCGGAGAAGTCTCTTATACCCGGGTTTCTCTTATATCCGGGTTTGGTCTTTTTTATATACATTAATCCAGGCTCTAATTTGGGACCGGATAAAATCTCTCTTATATCCGGGTTTCTCTTATATCCGGATCACTTATATCCGGGTCTCTTATATCCGGGTTACACTGTATTTATGATTAAAAAAGATGACGAAAACGCGTTGCGACCTAGAAGAAAAGCGCTATGATTTACCAAAGAAATAGATTGCATATGTTCCAAATTGAAAGAAAGTACAACATTTAGATTTAAGCATCACAATTTTTTATGCGCCCTGTCCTTTTAGGACGTGGACAATCATGACTCCACAACTTCATATCCCTTGTAACTCTACGTAATATTTTCTTATTGCCACCGCTCCGAGAAAGAGTGTTCCAGCATCCAATCATCCAAATTCGTCTATTTGATGGTACACTGTCTTCTGCTGTCCAATTTGCCTTCGATACGTCCTCTGAGTATCAAATTCTCTAAGCCTTCCTTGCTCATTGTCTGTAAAAGAAACTGATTTTGAGTAGGTGTCCCTTTTGTCAACATTTTTTTTAAAACTTCCTCATTGCTTACGTGTTCCCTCATTGGTCTTCTCAGCATCCGTTTATATTTCTTTTGCATCCAGGCTTCCCTTCATCCATGACGAAAATTGCCCTTCTTTCCATGCCATCTGGGATTGATGCACTGATTGAATTGTTTTATACGGCTTATAAAGCGTTTGTCGATTATTTAAAGCCGGTAAATATTTTTAGAATGTAAGAATTTCTTTTCTTGTGGGGAGTAGATAATAATGATTTAGTAGTACAAGTCTTACTAATTAACCCATATATGAGAGGAGAAGGAGGTGGATTCATATATTTCCCAAAGATATTTACGGGTAAGTGAGTTGGAACTCGGCTCTTCACTTAAGAATTCCGTGTTATTATCCATTTCCTAATCTGCACATCCAAATTTACACTTGGTATTCCGAAACTGTCACCCATCTACGTACTGACCAGGTTCGACGTTGCTTAAATTCGGTGATCATACGGAAACCGATGTTTCAACGTGATATGGGCGTAAGCCACTGTCATAGAAGAGGATTGGTATTCACCAGCATTGATGAAGGAAAAAATTAAATTCAAATAATAGTTGTAAAATCTACAAAGGCGGAATCGAAGAGATAATTACATCTACAGTTTTTCATGTTTTTTCTAATGAATGGAAGCAAAACTGTGTCTAATGTGCACTAGACCAGTTAAAATAATTTGAAACTGACAATATCCATGTATTCGTGGTTTTGATAAAAATTAGTTATAGCTGAAAGAGCTCCAACACAAATTATTTATGTTTACATACTCGAATCACTTTTTAGCACTCTTGTACCTATAGGAAGTAAAACAACTGAACATTTTTTCTCTTTTATCAAATTTGCACACACCCAGACACACACATATATATATATATATATATATATATATATATATATATATATATATATATATATATATATATATGATAAAATATATTTTAATGTAAGCTATATTTGTTGTATAGAATGCCCAATATAAGGGATAGGGCGTAGGTAAAGATAAAAGTGGATACAGCACAAAGCGGGGATAGTTTATTCCATGCCGGAACGCAATCTTCAAACTATATATATATATATATATATATATATATATATATATATATATATGTGTGTGTGTGTGTGTGTGTGTGTGTGTGTGTGTGTGTGTGTGGTTGAATGACTTTAATTTTTGAATATGGTCAGCACGTTGTGTCCGTCTTCGTAATTGTCATTCTTTTTTTATTACTATACCTTCCATTATTTTTAATCGATTTTGCATGTGGATGAATATATATATATATATATATATATATATATATATATATATATATATATATAAAAAAAGAACAGTAAGATATATAATCCGGTGTTCTTATAGATATTTTTATTTTTACCAAATAATGCTCAATGTAAATTTACAGAGCATTAATATTGTAAATTAATTGATTTAAAATATGTTTTTTTTTCGCTACACAGTTCTAACCATGTTTCAAAAATGGAAGCTAAGAGCTCCGAATTTAATTTTGTAATTAAATTAAAGACATTAGTTCCATTTCATCCTCAAGCAAATTTTAAAGAGACAGCTAAAATCATAATTTACGTTTCCAAGGTTACAGATAAATCCATCCTACCCCCTACCAAAACGCAACTAATAACTGATACATCAAAATACAGACATAATGAACACGCAGACCCCCCTTGTCTAGTGGAAGCGAACATGTTTATAATAAAGCAACAATTCTGCCAGTCACTTTTACACATAAAGCGATTAATGTTAAACACTATGTACTTTTGGGAATTATTTGGAATTATTCGATCAAATGTAATGATTTCCTATTGCGTGTGCGTGTTTTTTTTTTCTGAGATGTTTTATGCAAGGGAGAAATGAATTTCATAGCGCAATTAAATTAAGGTTTTAACACGTACGGTAGGCCATCTTATTTAATTATATTTTCGAAATTCAGTGCCTGCATATCCACGATAGACAGGAACGAATACATTTTATTGGTCATACCAGAGGGAAATAAAATGACATCAAATTGATATGACAGGTAATATAATCTTGATTTGCACGGCCTTATAATGTAAATATAAATAAATCCATTACTCTCATCTAAGAACCATAAATGGGGGCAATATTGCAAAGGAATAGGAAACAATGCAATTGGCGAACAGTTATTATTTGTAAGAAAAACAACAGAAAACATAGAAATAAAAAATCGTTTTTTCTCCATCGACAATGCATTTATTCTCGAAAGCTTAACAGATTTATTGAACGCAAGATCTGCTAGAGTGCAAAGTAGCTGCTGTTAGCAAAAACTTATGTTTTGTAGAATCTAATATGCTTGTTCACTATAATATGCATATCAATAAAAAAGGCATAAAAAACGTAAAACGTTCAGAGATGCAATATGATAAATCAAAATGAATGATTGTTTACGTATGTCTACGAACATAGAAATATGCATGTACATATGTGTAAGAACACGCACACAACTATATATATATGTATGTGTGTTATGAAATGGATTAAGTACGACAATTATTTTAATATATTTTCCGTTTATACGTTATTTTTTTTTATAGAAATAATTTATTTAAGTAAGGACTTTTTTGTGGTTTTTGTTTGTTTGTTTGTTTTTTGTTTTTTTTATTATTATTAACCAGTATTAATTACATTTACCGGCCTGAATAATCGAGAAGTTTCGAAGAAAATATGCGCTTCTCCGACAGGAAAAATCGGCGAATTCATACGTTTATAAACAGTAATTCGGACTTTGCTAACCACACGCACTTTTGTGGTTGAATGGTTAACAGCACAGTAGATCAAAGGATGATTTCCATTAGGGTTAAAGGTTCGATTCCTGTCGGAGAAGCACATATTTTCTACGAAATTTCTTGAACATTCAGGCCGACAGATTTAATTAATACTGTTTAATTAAACAAAGCAGCATTTATTTTAAAAAAATATATCTATAAAAAAACGTATAAACGGAAGATTTTTTATATATA